TGTGGTCAATGCTAATGCTAATATTTGATGTTACATTTTGGTGGAGAGCAACTTCGTGGCATCTTCTCATTGAAGTCCAGTCCCCTTCCACCTGAAAGTGACATTTCATTTGATAATTGATAATGTGGTACACATTTAATACTTGGATCGAAGCATCGCATAATTAATAAATACTAACATAAATGTAATAAATGAGGGGGATCTTTCGACCTACTCACAATTAAATAAAGTTATAGAGAGGAGTGATGAGATCAATGTTCAATTGTACGTAGATTGGAGTTCGAAGCTTATAAAATAATATATTATATTATTTATAAATACACAACTAGTACTTAATTGTACATACGGTCTGTTCTCATTTCTCCACGCCGACGTGCGAAAAAGAAGAAAAAAAGCATGCACGTGTACGGTTTTTTTTAATTTACTAATTGGTCCGTGTTTTAAGTTTATCTGTTTGGGTGTTAGTTCGGTTAAAAGTATTATAATCCCTAATTATTTAGAGATTATGGATTGATTTTTAAACATGTTTTATTTTTTTGAATGGATGAATTTAAACATGTTTAAGAATGTAATTGTGAAGGGATACGCATGTTAAAAGTTTCTTGAACGAAGATGATCAGTCAAAGTACATAAGCTATGAAGTGTTTCCTGGAAACGTCTGAAATAATAGTCAAAATAATTCGCATTATTATTTTTAATTCTTATTATTTAATTTAAAATATAAAAAATATTTTCATAAGCCTTTTGTTGAATAATATTCACAGGCAAAACTTTCGAGATAATATTCTGAAAGAAATTAATTCACGAGCTAATGCACTCCCAAAATTAATTGCTCAAATAAGATGAAATCCACATACCTACTAGGTCGCCATGTCTTCCCGGCGACCTACAAGAGATTGCATGTTCTATGCACGTCCCAACACGCTGGGCATCGGAGGCCATCCGACCGAGGCCATCCGAAAGCATTCGAGGCCATCCGAGGCCATCCAAACGAGCTATGCGAGGGCAACCGAGCGAGCTATGCGAGGGAATCCGAGGGCAACCGAGCGAGGGTAGGTCGCCATGCACTCCGGGCGAACTACCCTCGCTCGGTTGCCCTCGGATTCCCTCGCATAGCTCGCTCGGTTGCCCTCGCATAGCTTGTTCGGATGGCCTCGGTCGGATGGCCTCGGATGCCCAGCGTGTTGGGACGTGCATGGCACATGCAATCTCTTGTAGCTTACCGGGAAGACATGACGACCTACGGCCAACACTGTGAATTTCACTTTAATTAAGCAATTAATCTTAAAAATATTTTATCTCATAAATTAATTTTTTCCACAACATTATCTCAAAAGTTTTGCCAATATTCACAAGTACAAAAAATAACACTACAAGAGAAAAAGGGGGGGGGGGGATATTCAAAAGGACACTGGAATACCAAATGCGGTGATCGTAAAATGTGGAGTTCAAAACTCAATCAATTCAAAGACTACTTGGTGATGTTGATTTTTGACCCGTATATGTTGTTTGATTTTGACCGACTTTTTATATATATTTTTTCTAATTACATGATACAAAAACTGGAGTTATATGTATAATTGTATTTTTTATTCTTATTTTAAAAAATTAATAATATGGTTTACAATCGTACATTACATAATAATATTTTCAAATGGGTACAAGTTTAATTATATGTTACAACTTCAAAAGCTGACAATCCCAGTTCAAACCTAAATTAATAAACCAAATTATAATATTTTTCATCAATAAGATGAGTGAATCAAACTAATATATCTTTTGAGTTGACAATTTCATCCAAAAATAGTATTTTTAATTGAAAATAAAATCAATAGCTATAATATTTTAAAATGAAATGAATTAAATATTTAAACATATTTGGAAGATAAATTTTGATACTATTCTAGTGCAATAATTTTCCCAAAAGAAAAACATTATCCATTTTAACAAGCAAACTGTACATAGCAGCCATGCTAGCTGTTAACCTCTTGTTCTGGGCTTTAATTAATAACTAATCAATTAATACAAATTTCTACAAGTAGGGATGGCAACGGGCCGGGTTCGGGCCGGGTATTGGTCCCCGTCCCCTTTCCCGTTTAAAAAATCGGTATCCGTTCCCTTCGTCGGGTAATCGGGGAAAACCGCGGGGAAACGGGTATCCCCGTTTAGCATAAACGGTTATTTAAACGGGTATTGGGCCGGGTATTGGGTCGGGTATTGGGCCGGGAATCGGGCCGGGTATATATATATATATATATATATTTAAATTAAATATATAAATAATTATTTTTAATATTTATCGGGTCGGGTATCGGGGCGGGTAATCGGGGCGGGGATTATCAAACCCGTCCCCATCCCCGTTTAAAATTAATAGGTTTTCCCCGTCCCCGTCCCCGTTTATCATCCCCGAACCCGACCCGTTTAATTCGATTTTCGATTTTCCCCATCGGGTTCGGATTTTTTAGCCATCCATAAGTACAAGATGTATTATTTCCTGGAAAAAATTTATCCATACCATGTTAAAATCCCAGCTAATCTATTTAGTTTTATCTTTTAAAAAGTATTAATTAAACCGACCTTAAATTATAGAATTTCTATTTCATATTTTTTTGGTTCCGCTCTAAAGTTTCGTATTGACTAATCTAGACTCATCTAAGTCGTACACCTAGTTTTGATGGTTGAATCTTTCAATGAGGATTTTCTGCATACACAATGACTTAAACCTAAGATTTTGCTTAAGTGATATCAAACTACTTACCACTTAGATCAACCTCATTGATAATATCTATTCCATATTTAAAAAACTAAGAGAGTAATTATATATTAAGGTTTTATATATACAAATAACTAATATAATAAAATAGAAGTTTTATATAAAAATTAGCAAATAAAAAATTATTAATTGTTTGATATCGCTAAGCAAGGTCTCAGGTTCAAGTCCTTATGTATACAGATTCTCACTGGGAGGCTCACCCACCAAAATCAATTGTGCGATCCATATTAACTTAAAGCGAAGCTTAAAAACTGGAGGACAAAAATAAGTATATGTTAAAATGTTTTTTTTTTATTACGAAATAAATTGATATTTAATTAACTTTTGGGTAAAGAATACAAATAGTCTCGACTATAGAGTATTGTTTTATTAAGTCTCTCGACTGTTAAAAGTTATAAAATATTCATATGACTATAGAGTGTTGCTTTGTTGAGTCCCTTGACTATCAAAAGTTACAAAATGGTCACCCGACTATTTATCATGTTCAAAACTTGTCATTTTCCGATTGAAAATTTACGGTTGTCTAAGTTGGTCATTAACGTGATGACTAATTAAAATCAAGAGTTGGAGCTCTTCCATTCCTTTCCACCGGTTCTCCAAAAGTTAATGAAATTTGGGACTTGATTCGTTGCAAAGGGCAGACTGTTATATGGCACAAACTCATTTGGTTCCCATTGCATATTCCTAAGTTCAGCTTAATTGCTTGGATGTCTCTGCTCAACAAATTGCCTACAAGAGACATACTTCTTAAAATGGGAATTACCACCGACAGTATTTGCGTTAATTGCAGTACCTCTTATGAATCAAGAGACCATCTCTTTTCACAATGTACAATAGCAGTGGATCTCTGGAATTCAATTCTGAAACTTAATGGGGTGAATACCATTTTCTTATCATGGGATGAAATGGTCATAAAGGCTTGTTCATTATGGAAAGGGAAGTCTTTGCTCACTACTATTATGAAAATTTCTTGGACTGTTGTTATTTACACTTTGTGGCAGGAAAGAAATCAGAGAATTTTTCAAGGAAGGAGTAGAACGATCGACTGTTTGGTAAATGAGGTTAAAGAAGTTGTTGGAATCCGTCTTAGGGGAACTAATATTAATAGACTTGATAGTACTAACTTACGGCTTTGTAGCGTTTGGGGTATAGTATAACCAATCATTTTGAGTTGGTTGTTTTGATTTTTTGTTATTGATTGGTTGTATATTTAACTTTGTATTGAGTAATAAAATCAGAATTATAAAAAAAAAAACTTAACGTTTAACTCATAAAACTTTCAATTTTTTAACGGAAAGTGACTAGTTTGAAACATAATAAATAGTCGAGTGATCATTTTGTAACTTTTAATAGTCGATGGACTCAACAAAGCAACACTATGTAGTCGGATGATCATTTTATAACTTTTAATAGTCAATGGACTTAATAAAGTAATATCATATAGTCGGGTGACTATTTGTGTACTTTACCCTTAACTTTTTATTGAAATTTAATAAATTTAGTTTTAGTAAATTTGAACTGTCATCTTCCCGAGGTAAGCGTGGTGATTGCGAAAGAAAAGGAAGTCAAGAAAAGTGGTGGGGGAAAAATGAATGCAATAGGTGACGGCAGTAGTGGACAAACAACAACAATAACAGAGCTGATATCATATCAGACTAAAAATGTTTGAAAGCAGAATCCGAAGAGGAAGGCGCGTGTATGACCAGACACTCGTTGACTGTTATTGTTTAACAAAAATCCCAGCAGCGTGACTGCAGATTTTCCATGAAAACTTAAAACCCGCTTTCATGTATTTTCATGGAAACTTTCCTTCTTTATAATAAGCTTACTTTCATTGACCAATCTCCTCTCTCTGTATAACCATCTGGAAATTCGTTTTTCCATCTCTCACGTTCCAGGAAGGAAAGCGAATGACCTTTCAATTTACCCTTTACTAATTTTCCATTAATAATTCCAATATTCCAAAACTTTGAATTCATCAAACCACGAGACTTTCGTGGTTTATTTTTTGGTACGTGTTTGAAGGTTTAGTTAGACTCCGGTTTTCTTTTTCGTATATATAGAGAACGCAGTCAGACCCTGGGTAACATACTTTTGATCGTCAATTCATCACAAAGGGGAACAGAGCACATTTATTCGGAATTGAGGTAGACGATGTTCGATTCTATTTGTTTGTTCATCTTCAGTTATTGGTTTGGTTTTAACTGATTTCCCAAATCATGTGCAGGCACAGGGTTGTTGTCTTGTAATAATTCTAATTGAAGGCTTATGGGATTGTCGCTTTCCTTGCTTCTCTCTGCCTGGCAACAAATTCTAAGTCACAGGTTTTTCGATTTGGCTTACAATGTTAGTCTCAGTTCTAAAGATGGGGAGGTGACCTTGAGGGTAAACAGCTTCAAGAGAACAGATTCGGAGACCACAACCAACTCGGTTTCTGGGTCGGACAAGATTCAAAGGAAAACTCCATTAACATTGAAAACTAGCAAATCTGATGAGAGAAATATAGTGCTTGAGAAAACTTTTTCATTCAAGAATCTGGTTCAAGACAAAAGGAAGCCATCGGGTTCTAGTGCTTCGAATGGGTTGTTGCATAAGCCAATGCCCACGCTTTCACTGCCGGAACCGACGATTTTGTTTTCACCGAGACCCGCTAGTGAGCTCGACGCGGCTGCTGTTAAGCTTCAAAAGGTTTACAAGAGCTACCGGACTCGAAGAAACCTTGCCGATTGTGCCGTGGTGGTCGAGGAGTTATGGTGGAAGGTATTAGACCTTGCAGAGCTCAAACAAAGTTCTGTTTCGTTCTTCGATGTTGAAAAACCTGAATCTGCCGTTTCACGGTGGGCAAGAGCCAAAACAAGAGCGGCAAAGGTACTCCTTTTTTTAAAAAAAATTAACATAGTAATCCAAATGTCGTATGTTCTTAAATTTCTTTAATCAATACTAATGATATTTCTTCCTTGCTATTTGCAGGTGGGAAAGGGTTTGTCCAAGGATGAAAAGGCCCAGAAATTAGCCCTTCAACACTGGCTTGAAGCTGTAAGTTGTTTGCAAACATTTACTTTTCACCAACTTCTCTGGTTCGATATTCAGTTCATCTGGACATATATGACCTAACCGTGTCATGTGTTGTTGCAGATTGATCCGAGACATCGATATGGGCATAACTTACACCTATATTACGACGTTTGGTTCTCAAGTGAAAGCTCTCAACCTTTCTTCTACTGGTGAGTATTACTAGCCTCGGAGTTTTTTTTCCCTTTAGCTATTCATGAATAATAATCATAACACTTTGTCTGATGATTTTCGTGTAATTTTCTTTCTTAATAGGCTGGATGTTGGAGATGGGAAAGAAGTAAATCTTGACAAATGTCCAAGGAAGAAACTACAACAGCAGTGCATCACATATCTTGGACCAGTACGTGTTGATTTGACGGCTTGTTACTATAATTAAATTTTCAGTTGAAATAATTAATGTTTGCTTACACTATCATTTTACTTGCAGAAAGAAAGGGAAGGATATGAGGTAATAGTTGACAGCGGCAGGCTGGTTTTCAAACAAAGTGGGTCACCAGTGAATACAACAGCAGAGCGCAAATGGATATTTGTCCTCAGCACAAGTAGGGCCTTGTATGTGGGTAGAAAGGAAAAGGGTACATTTCAACATTCGAGTTTTCTAGCCGGCGGTGCCACCACCGCAGCCGGAAGATTGGTTGCTCGTGATGGAGTTCTCGAGGTACAAAGCCAAATTCATGCAATCCCATATGTAGTGTATTCGTTTAAGGTTTAATGTTTTGTCACCGACTCACGACGTTTTTTTTTCAGGCTATATGGCCATATAGTGGTCATTATCTCCCAACGGAAGAAAATTTCATGGAATTCATAAGCTTCCTTGAGGAAAATCATGTGAATCTCACTAATGTTAAGGTAAAAAATATTCTTAACCATGGATTAAGATTATATTAAGAAAGGGTTTACCTGGATAAGTTTGCTTAAATGAGATGTTTTCTCCATTTAACAGAGGTGTGCTATCGATGATGATCACCCATATGGGCAACCCCCGGCTCCTTTGGTCGGTTCTGATGAAACCAGGAAGGTTGATGGTGGTGATGGAGGTGACAGCATGAGGAGGGTGGAAACAGCCAATCATGACCGCAATGAAAAGATTAGAACTAATCGTTCCAAGGCGCCAACACCAGTCGCCACTCCGGCTAAGAGATTATCATTCAAGTGGACCACAGGGGTTGGACCCCGCATCGGGTGCGTGCGCGACTACCCCACTAGTCTGCAGTCAAAAGCACTCGAACAAGTTAATCTATCACCAAGGGTTACTCCTGGATTCAAGTTTGGTCCAATTCCTTCACCAAGGCCGAGTCCAAGGATCCATCTTTCCCCAAAGATTGCAGGCATGGGACTGCCTAGTCCAAGGCCCATAACCACAAGCTAACTAAGCCACTTCACTCAGTGAGATGGCTTTACTTGTTTGCATGATGACTTGGGTCAAAGACTCAAAAGATTTACTGTCCACCCCCTCTAAAGCACTGCTTGTGCAAAAGGAAGAATTGGAGAATCTATGCAAGGAGGAAGCAACCAACTTAACCCACAAAAATCTTCATTCTTTATTATTATTTTTTTCTTTTTGATTCATCATTTTGAATTTACTTCAGTTTAATTGATTTTTCTTTTTGTGTACAATAAATAATTCATGCAAAGATGATAAAAAATAATTATTTCTATTTCTATTTCTATTTTGTATGACAAACCGAGAAAAAAAACCAAAACTAATATTACATAAAATATGAAAAAATATGTTATTAATATAAACAATATAAAAGATATATAATTTCCGCATAAAAAGTTAAGAATTAAATGATATTTTGATTTTTTAAAATTGTATCTTATTCTAATTTTGATATTTAAATTTTTTATATATTTTTACGTCATGTTATATGTTATTATAATATTGTTTAAATATTTTATAATACAAAAATAAATTAAAATAGCATGCACTATTAAATTTTTAAAAATTTAAATTGAATGAAAGTATTCTTCACATATCCAAATAATAGTAAATTATAATTTCATAATATAAGGTTTCAATTTAACCCAAAAGTTAATCTACGTAGGTAGTCAGAAAAAACTACTGCAGTTTACATGCATAAATTACCTTTTGCAGGAAAAGAAAAAGAATAGCAAGAGATTGTGGAAGGAAAGTATAATCAAAATCACTGATCAAATCATAAATTAAAATTTCAATTTCAAAACAAAAATGGGGAAATATTTGAAATATATATTAAGCAGCCAAAAAGTGTGGATTAATATTTGATTAAAAACCCTAGTATGAGCCTATGAGACCAGTACTAAAATGATGCTAAAACCACCATCACATCAACCAGAAAGATCATCCATCGATCATTTCTGAGCAGCTCCCGTTTGTCTTTTTACTGTGAACTTCTCATCAATAAAGTCATTGTTTTGTTTTCATCGTTGTAGTTTCATGCAGGCTATGCCCCCGTTCTTCTTTCTCTTTTTTATTTTTCCTGCTGAATCATCAGTCAAGTAGTACGTTGGTCAGCATTGACTATTTTTATTGATAAACTGAATTTTATTAATTTTTTTTGTATCTATTGTCATTTTTAAGAATTATAATTATGGGTATACTTGAGGATATTAACATCTGTAGTTGAATAATAAAATTTTAGATTTATAAAAAAAAATTATAATTAGAATTTTATATAAAATTTAGGAGTTAAAATAAAATTTTATTATTTCATTAAACATATTTATCTTTTTAATTTTATAAAAAAAATTATATAAATTTTATGAATTTAATTTTTTTAAAAAAAATATATAAATTAATTATAGTAGAATTCAATTTGTTAAAAAATATATATATAATAAGGACAATTTGGTAAAATATACATTCTAATAATTCTCTATTCTTTTAACCAAACAGTGTAATCTTATATTCTTGTTGAACAAACCAAATACAAAAGACAACATTTTCAGTAATCTTATTCCCGCCGGTAATCTTATTCCCATTAATAATCTTACATTTCGCGAACGAAAGTCACCCTTAAGGATATTAACCTCTGGTTTTAAGAATTAAAACGATTATAATTAGTCAGATATTGCATATTTGTTTAATTTTTTTAAAAGAAAAAGAGGAGAAAAGGCTAATTAGTAAGTTTCCGTAGGCCTAGCTGCAAATCTGTTTTATGAGAAGGCCACATAACTTGTCTGTGAAGCAAGATCTATTCGTCTAGACATCTGGGAGTGATAGAACCACGGACAGATTTGATAACTTCTTTGTCTAAATTATTTCTGTCGTTTTTTTTTTCTGAATCGTTTAAGGTTGTGGCTTGTTTTTTGCCATAAGTTACTGCCTTGTTCCTCTCTATTCAAGTTGTTTCGTTTGTCCTCTTGAAAACTTTCTCATCACCGCCTCATCATTTCGAGGGATTCCCAGGAAAATGAAGCAGAGAATGTGTTGTTTTCTCATGATTACCATTATTTTGCAGATTATAAGCCAGATTCATATATCAACCAGCTCTTTAGCGTCTCATCATGTTCCTCAAAAACAAGGTTTGTCATTTAGCTGTCATATTTCCATCGTAAAAAGAAAAAAAGAAACCATCTTCGTTGCTAACGTTTGGCCTTTTATTTAACCCTGAAACCTTGCCCTTTCAATTCTTCGTTTTGAATCAAACGGATACTATTCCAGCGTTATCAGGAGTTGGCTTCGACTCTGAACGGGGTGGTGTTGAAAGTAGCAATGGTGGAGAGACATATAGCAGTAGAATGGTGGTGGGGTCAAGGCCACCGAACTGCCAACGCAAGTGCGGGGGGTGTGCGCCTTGTGTTGCGACCCAAATCCCTGCAACGACAGATGAACTGGGGATTCAGTACACCAATTACGAGCCTGAGGGATGGAAATGCAGATGTGGCTCCACTTTGTTCGATCCTTAAATGCTGCTGCTGCCTGCTGGGGCTCAATGCCATTAACTATTAACCACCATTACTAGCTTGCCATGTTGGGTTTTGGTTGCACCACACGCGGACATATGGATGATCTGGAGCCCATGTAGAATTGTGCAATCGGATATTGTAGTCCAGGGGTGGGAATCATGACTATTAAGGTGCATAGTTCGCTTGTATCTATCGAATGTATTGACTGCTGATTTTATTAATGAAATTATGATGTGCTTTACTAGGATGAGATAATGTGTGTTCGAACCGGTATTAGTCATACAAAACTTAACCACATGTGTGCTGAAATACGATAATTGAAGTTCCCCAATTAATTTCGATACAATCTGGCGAGGTTTCATACACTAGTTGTTAATGAACCCTCTTTGAACCAAATTCCCAACAGATTACGTTCGGAGAAAAGTCACGTGACATGTAACATCCCAAATTATGGGTTAATGGTCAATCGTAAAAGTTCAAAAGTTAGTGATTAAAGTATAATTTATGAAAAGTTTAGAATTTTAAAGTGATAAATTCTGGTATTGGATTAAATTATGAGGAATGAAAATATGAAGGGTAAGGTTGTCTTTTCATGAAAAAATATATTTATCTCTTATTTAAGAGATAAGCATGGGGTTGAATAGCATCTGGAAGCTTATCTTCTTCTCCTTCTTCTGTTCCCCGTAGGTCTCCATTAAAGGTAAGTTTTCGGTTTAGTTAATTATTTATTAATTTTAAGATTGAGTTTTGATCATTAGATGATAACTAAGCTTAAGGAAAGCTTAAGTTATCTTAAAATCACAATATAAAGGAGTTAGGAAAGATTAAAGATTTGGAGTTCTTAAGTGAAATCTTGAAATAGAGCTTATAATAAGAATTGAAAGTTGGATTTGACTTGTCATATGTGAGAATAAGAAGTTATAAGTGTTAGAATTTAGTTTGGATAACATGAAAATTTGATATGATTCTTAGTTTTAAGAATTTGGATGAGATATGGGAGATAATAAGGTATTGGAATGATAAAAGTTAGTTAAAATGATTGTAGTTGAGTTTAGTGTAAAAGGAGTTTTATATGAGGAAATTTAATGAAAAGTTGTGGAATTTTCGGATGAAATAGTCTATTCTGTGCTGGTGCATCGATGCACTATGAGTGTGTACCGATGCACTAAGATAAATTTTAAAGGTGTATCAATGCATGGGAATTTCGAACCTAATTTGTGTACCAATGCATCCATAGTGCATCGGTACACCCTAAAGGAAAACTAAATTTTTGGGTTCATTAAATTAGCTCAAGTTATTAGTATCGAATTATAAGGTTTAGGCTTCTTATAATTGTCTTGAAAATTATATTTATGTAGATATTGAGCCTAAACAAGTTCCAGAACAAGTGAAGTAAGATCGATAAAGGAAAAGGCAAAGAGATATAGGTGAGTGCATATTATAAGTATGGTATAATGGAATAAGACTTGTGATAAGTCTAATTCCTATGTTGATTTTCATAGTAAAATAGTTATGAACATGCATACATGATAATTATTATGATACATGCATAAAATATATGTTCATAGATTTGATAAATGATATGTGAAAAGATCCAAATGCACATGTGATATGATAAGTGATATGAGCTATCTGATCACAAGAGAAATGACATGAATACATGAACACATGAAACATAAGAATAATGCCCATGGTATACAATATGAGAGCTATAGGTATAGTTGGCATGCCAAGAGTCGAGGGTTCTACGTAGTCCTTCAGGACATATATATATCCTTTGGAACATTTACAGGGTCTTTTGAAACATATTTGATCCATTGGAATATGTATATGGTTCTTAAAGAGTGGCCTTTTGGGAAAATACAGTACATAGGTCCTTCGGGACAAAATTCATATGCCCCTAGTGGGACCCCATACGAGCTGTGGTGACAGCAATAGTGCACAACCTCAATGTACTCGAATACATTGAGTTCTCAAAAATGTACATGGGCCTATAAAAGTTATCTAAGGTAAGTGCATTATTATAGTTATATGTTATCATATTATTATTTTTTATATTGAATTGCATATGACATGATTGAATGGATAGATTGCATGTTCATATTCATACGAAATGCATTATTATTATATTTATATGTTAAGTCTATGACTTAGCGTGTAAGCGATTTACACGTAGGTACTGAGAAGCAGGAAGATCAAAGCTAAGCTTAGCAGAATAACATAACTCCACTTGAAGGTCAGATCATAAGTAGATTAAATAATATGTTTTATTATGTGAAAATAGGTTAGCATGTAAACAAAGTTGGTAAATTAAGTATTTATACTCTGATCAAGTTTTGTAAAGTTTTAAACGTATTTATGTAAATGTATAGTAATGAACGGTTAAATTTTACGAGTTTTATGAACGTTTACAAAAGTCACCGTAGCAGTGCATCGATGTACTGTAGCACTGCTCATGGTATTGTTCATACTATTCATGACACTGTTCATATCGTATAATAATGTTCATAAATACGTTTTTGCCTTAAATTTTTATAATGAAGCATAATTCAATAATATCATCGTATTTCTTAAAATGAGTTCAAATATTTGGTTATTTTGGAAGAACATCATTTTAAAAGTCAATGGACATCTCGGACTCGTCCGGGTCAGGTACGGATTGAGTTGTTACATGACAGGGGACCCTACACTGATAGTGAAGCAAAACTACTTTAATTTAGGGTAAATTACATGTTTAGTACCTAAAATTTCAATTTTTAAACTATACCTAAAATTTTGTTTTTGTTTCATTTTAGTACCCTATTATTAAAACTTCAGTTTTTGTTTCTTTTAGTACCCGTTACAATTTAACATTAAGTTTTGAAAATTTAGGTACTAAAATAGACAAAAAATGATAGTGTAGGTATTAATACGTTAAATTTTTAACGATGAGATATTGGTCCTTTTGATTCTAGAAAACATTTTCTGTTTTTATTTCTAAAATAATTTTCATGTGTTCTGAAAATTAGAAAACATGTTTAGTTAATATAAATGAAAACTTAAATTCAAAAATAAAAAATTGTGAAATATATTTGGTATCTAATTTTTTAAAATATAGATTAATAAATAGTTATTAAATAATTAATTAAAATATTATTATAAATTTAACACATGAGTTATGCAAAAACAATAAAATTGATAAGAAATTTCATAACACAAAAAAATCTATTTAATTTTTGACCAATTGAATTAAATTGTCAAGGCAATTACATGACAGTTCAAAAGTTCATGATAATCTATATTGTTGATGTGACAATTCATTATGTTGTGACAATACACGATGGATAATGACGTGGTAAATGAGTTTAATTGATTTTTTTACTAGGTTTGAGGGCTTAATTAACATTTTAAAAAGTTTGAGGAATTATTTTATTTTTAAAAAAATTAAGGTATCATTTAAATTTAAAATATAAATAATTATTAAGATATTAATACATTAAATATAAAAATGCTAAAAAATAAGTTATTAAAAAATAGTTTAAGGACAACATTGAATGTAAAAAAAATTTAGGGACCATATTGATTTTTTTAAAAGTTTGAGAGTTTTAGATACCATTAAATCAAAAAAAAAAAATTAGAATGATTTGAAAATGTGTAAGTTAAGTTAAATTCTAGATTTTGTATTTTTTTTATTTTTCATATTTTCAAAAATTTTTTAATAAAATATTAAAAACATCTTTTTTATGTTTTAATATTTCACTTATTTTTGTTTTCATTTTTTAGAAATCATTTTCTAATTTTACCACCAAACGTGTTTTATTTATTTTCTATTTTTAAGAAAATAAAAATGAAAACAATCTATATTTTCTTGAACCAAATGACCCCAAAATAAAATGAAAACTACAAATTATATAATTTTTGAAAAAAATTAAAAGTTTATATTAAAATAAATAAAAAATAATTGTTTAATTATTAAATGCATAGTTTACCTTTTCTTTTATTTATTTCAGGAACTTCCGCATCCTTTGCTCGCGTTGTAAGCACGCACGGCCTACCATTTTATATCCCCTCGCATTCATAATTAATTTAAAAAGGGTAAATTACAGAATTGATCACTCTTATTAAAATTTTATATATTTTTTCTTATTGAATTAAAAAAAATAATATTAATAATTTTGTTATTTTATTTAGTTAATATATGATTACTGAGAGTTAATTATCGTTAGACCTTTAATGGATTATTGATTTGACACAATGAATATATAAAATTAAAAAAAGATAAACTTACTTAAATATTAATATTGAGTAAAATTTCATTTTTTCTAATAAAATTTACCTGGTCAATTTTACCAGTGTTGTTCCTCCAGCTTCTTTACCTCCACCAAGATTCGAGATTGAAAATTTGAAAGAATAACAAACGATGAAGAACAAACGTATGTACTTTAGAACGATTCTCCTCCTCCTACGTAGTTTTCATCTTTCTCATCTTCCCATTATATCTTTAAATGTTTCATCGATTGTTATTCGATGGTCTCTTGCCCTAGCTTGCGACATGAAAACTTTGTCCGGTTAAGGAAACATACAGATCCTTGAACTTCGTTACCATATAAAGCAAGCCTGTTGAGTTGGTGACTATGAACTCGCCTTACCGAACTGAAATCATTGAACCACTCACAAGTGTTTAAAACCATTCGATTCACCTTGTCCTCAAACAGATCATATTTGTTTAGTATCAACACAAATGAGGTGTCCTTAAAGCAAGGGTGACTTATCGTCGTTTCAAATAGACCCCTAGTCTGCATCATCTTATTTTGAAGCATTGATCCAATGTCGTAACGTTACTTCTATTTAGTGCTATTAGATCATAATTAAGTACAAATTTTATTAGGAAAAATGAAAACTTCCTAAAACATGGTGACCATTTGTGTAATTCATAATTTTTAGTTTTATATATTCATTGTGTCACATCAATAATTTGTTAAAGGTCTAATGACGATTAGCACGATGACATCTTAATTAAATAAAAATGAAAGTGACAAAATATTATATTTTTTAAATTTAGTAAAAAAATATACAAAACTTAAGAGAAAGTGACCGATCTTGTAGTTTACCCATTTAAAAAAGAATAGAGAAAAGAAAAAGCCATACCAAAACGCACACATCTTCCGTCGTTCAAAACTTTTCTTTTTTACCCTTTCTTGCGTTTCGTTGCTTATATCTCAAATCCACTATGAGAGAAACATGCTTATATATCTGTTTTCCCATAGGCATAGAATTATGATTTCATAGCTACTCCTTCCCGTATTCCTCTACTATCATTAACGTAACATAACCCAGTTTTCTTCTTATTGGTCTGTTGATTTTTATTCTTTGTTTTTTTAGGTTAAAACTAATATAAACCCTAGTTCCTTTTGATATTCTTTTTCGTGATCGAAAATTTGATGTGTAAGGATCGTCGTTGTGGTTGATTTCGTGTTTAATGTTGCCGTATACTTTCCTCGTTTTTTATTTGGGGAGTTTTCTAAGTTAGGGTTTCGTGTTATAGTTGGAGTTTTGATTTTTTTTTCTTTGCTTAGTAAGTTGAATTGACGGAGCCTCTTGTCGGCAATAAGTTTCGGCTTGGTCGCAAAATCGGTAGCGGCTCTTTTGGGGAGATCTATTTGGGTTCGTTACAGTTTTTCCTTTTCCCCTTTTTTTTCCCTTCTGAATTTGAGTTTAATTTTGTGTTTCCTTCTTCGTAGGTACACACATTCAGAAAAATGAAGAGGTTGTCATCAAGCTTGTAAGCAGTCCTTGCTTAAAACTCACTTCTATAAATATGTATTTAAATTTTGTATATTACCATCGCTTTTGTTTACGTGCTTGTTTATAACTGTTGTTTGTTGCATTTTAATGTTCAATGAAATAGAAATGTAGTTGCCATTCTTGCTAGGTTTTAAACCGAGATGTGGTAATCAAGTTCCTGTTTAAACATATTCATTTATAACTTAGTGATGCATTTGAGTCAGGCTCGTAGCACACATTGAAGTTGGTGTAAACTGTATAGATACGCTATTGTTTAGTTAGTTGGATTATAGTCAAACGTTTTCAGATGGTGAAGTTACATTTGTTTGTTGACACTTTGATTTATGGTTACTGTTTTTTAGTTACTCTTTTTTTTCCAGATCTTTTTGTTTGTATTAAATTAATGATATTTATATTTTCTGTACCTACTTGAATGAAAATGGATAAACAGAGAATCAAACAATTATTTAAGTTTTAACATGGTGGTAGGGGAAGTATAATTAACCATAAAAATGTTCCCCGGGGAGGGCAAAGTTGAAAGGAATTAAAAATCGGGGGTTCAAATAGGTATATATCCCCATATACATATATAGGGGGTGGGTGGAGGGTGCTGTAGTTTCGTCCATGGATCATAATATTTCATCAAAAGGAGGATAAAATGTGGTTATAAGTCCCCCCCCCCCAATAGTTTGATATAATTTTGGACAAGAAGTATATTCCATGGGGTGGCTTTCATTTATAGTTTGATTACCAATTTACCATTGTGTATCCATTATTATCTTGACAATTGGTGTGAACTGAAGTCTTGACATTTATAATTTACCTTTGTTTTGCTTTTGGATCTTCCCTTGTTGTACTGTTGAAGCGTGGGAACCACTGTAAGAACTGAGATCTTGAATGCTGCAGAGACCATTTTCATATGACGAATTGGGTTCGTTATAGCTCTCTATCTGCTGCATTCTTCCATCTCCATAATATCCCGATCCCAAATCTTCAACCGTAGTGTAAGGGAGTTGCTTCCTCTTTCTCGTAGGATGCTCGGTTTTTGAGTGAACGTCTCTAAAAGGTTGAAAGTGGGTTCCGTATAACTCTAAAATAGCAAGGAATTTTGATAAGTTTTAATATTATTTTGTAATATTTCGAAATTTTAAAGATCATTTGTAAGGTATAGATAAATTGTATCGACCATTTGAGATGATTAATGACTACCTTGTAATATTGGAAAGATTTCTGACAAAAATGTCATCCTCATTCGATTCAGTGACCTCCGTTTTACTTTAATCCTCCTGTGCTATTTTTGTGGACCCTAGAACGGGCCTAGAGTCCAAGATTCGTTTGAGCCTTTTGGGCTCGACTGGGTTTAAGGAAAAAGCCGTTGCTTGGTTTAATATTAAAGAAGACAAAAGAAAATACTATTTTTCCACGATAACCTTTTCAGCTTTCACTATCCGAAAGAGTTTCTTCGGTATCTCCAATGCCGCTGTCTTGAAGAAAACCCTAAACGTTCCCCTTTGCCTAAATTAAACCAAACACAAACTAGTCCTTCGATTGCTTCGGCTTTGAGGATCTGATTCATCTGAGTCAATATTTTTCATCTCGATATTTATCCTTCGAAACCTAGTAAGGTATGCTTTTCTCATCCACTTTTCAACTTGTTCTGCAGATCTGGTATTCCATTATATCACGTTTGCAATTTTTGTTAGATGTCGTTTCAATAGATTTATTTGGTAGCGGGAAGCTATTTAGATGTTTTAGGTTATGTTCTGCTATTTCTGTGCTTATTTCTTTTCTATTTTTAGTATACAATTTGGACATGCAATTCTTTTTTTCCTATTGATTCAGGTACTGAATAATCTTCTGGGTGTTTAATCGTAGCTGAAATTATTTGATTGCCTGAAATGAGTGATAAAAATTCACCTCCTGGGTCACCCAAACAAAAACCAGATCAGAATTCGGAGACTAATCCTTTGCCCAAAGATGACAACTCACTGGAAACCATTGTTCGAAAGATTCAGGATTCCATGACCGTATCCAAGATACACAAGTTCTGGGAAACCCAGCCTGTTGGACAATTTAAAGATATTGGGGACACGAGTTTACCTGAGGGACCGATCGAGCCCCCCACTCCATTGTCTGAAGTGAAACAGGAACCTTATAACCTTCCAAGTCCGTATGAATGGACCACCTGTGATATGGATTCGGAAGTCACTTGTACCGAGGTTTATAATCTTTTGAAGAACAATTATGTCGAGGATGATGAGAATATGTTTAGGTTCAACTACTCCAAGGAGTTTCTTAGTTGGGCATTGCGGCCTCCTGGTTACTATAAGAGCTGCACATTGGGGTTCGTGCCAAGGCTTCAAAGAAGCTTGTTGCTTTCATTACTGGTATACCTGCGAGAATAAGGGTGCGGGATGAAGTTGTGAAGATGGCCGAGATCAATTTCCTGTGTGTTCATAAGAAGCTGAGATCAAAAAGACTTGCACCTGTGATGATTAAGGAGGTTACTAGGAGGGTTCATTTGGAGAATATTTGGCAGGCAGCTTATACTGCCGGAGTTGTTCTTCCGACACCTATTACTACTTGCCAGTATTGGCATCGGTCATTGAACCCCAAGAAGCTTATTGATGTTGGCTTTTCTAGGCTTGGGCCTAGGATGACAATGAGCCGAACCATCAAACTCTAAAGTTACCTGATTATCCAGCCACCCCCGGGTTCAGAAAGATGGAGCTTCGTGATGTCCCTGCTGTTACCAGGTTGCTTAGAAACTACTTGAGCCAGTTTGTTGTTTCTCCAGATTTTGATGAGAATGATGTGGAGCATTGGCTGCTTCCTACTGAGGGGTCGTGGATAGTTATTTGGTTGAGAGCCCAGAGACGCATGACGTTACTGACTTCTGCAGCTTCTACACTCTCCCCTCGTCAATTCTCGGCAACCAAAATTATTCAATTTTGAAAGCTGCCTATTCTTACTACAACGTCTCCACTAAGACTCCATTGCTTCAGCTGATGAATGATGCCCTTATTGTTGCCAAGCAGAAGGATTTTGATGTTTTCAACGCTCTTGATGTCATGCATAATGAGTCTTTCCTCAAAGAACTGAAATTTGGACCTGGTGATGGGCAACTTCACTACTACCTCTATAATTATCGGATACGAAATGCTTTGAGACCATCAGAACTTGGTCTTGTACTCTTATAGTTTGACATCCTTCAACTTTGTTTGTGCAGTTTTGTTCCGAATTAGTTCTGGATTGCTTCATATTCATTGTTCCTCTGTCGTCTGCAGCCAGGGCGGTTCGGTTTGCTGTGGATGCAAGAGCAACCTCTATTGTCTTTGTGAGCTTTAATTGCTTAGGCAGATACAATATTGCTGTTGACAATGCTCATTGTTCAACGGACATGATGAATAATGCTGAGCTTTTGGTTGTGGTTTACTTGTTAGTTTTCGTAACGGTTTTGCAGTTTTACGTTGCTTTTTCCTTTTTCGCCTTCTTGTTCACTTTGCTTTAAACAATTAAACAATGCTGCTGTAGCCTCAGATGATTCAGTGGGAAAGTCTCACGTTAAGAGTCTTAATATACGGCAAAGAAAATGTGTTATCGGTTTTGTTATTATTTTTTTTAACAAAACCGATAAAAAATTACCTAAAACATTATTATTTCTACCGATTTTATTATTATTGGGCGTTTTACCGGTTTTGATAAAACACTACCTAAAATATTATTTGTTTACCGGTTTTGTTATTAGTGTGTAATTTACCAGAAATGTTAGAAACATTAATGTTTTATGTAGAAATAATAATGTTTTAAGTAATTTTTATTGGTTTTGTTAAAAATAATAATAAAATCGGTAACGTATTTTCTTAGTTATATATTAAGACTGTTGTACGTTAGAATTTTCCTGACTCAGTAGTTTATGGATAACGAAATTTTTGCATGTTCAAACTTAAGACCAAGTTTACTTGCCCATATATCTGGAATAATTCTTTATATTTAATTGTATATCAGGTGTTTCGTTTTATATTAGTCTCAGTAAAATAATGTGTTATAATTCTTATATTGGTATGGACATGTATATTTATCATTATTCTATTTCTTAAAAGTTCACACACTCTATATCTCTATTATGGAGTATCCTAATTGGATCAGATCCACTATGCTATAAAACAAAGTTCCATGCTAATGTACATGTTTTCCCTCAAGTGTATAATTATGATTTCTTAGCTGCTCTTCATAGGGAGAGTAAAATAAAAGGGTAATTTACATGTTTGGTACCTAAATTATCGTTTTTGTTTCGTTTTAATACATAAACTTTAATTTTATAAAAGTTATATTTAATTTTTACTTTTTATTCATTTTAATACCCATCGTTTAAAATTTAAACGAAATGACCGATGTGGAATTACTTTTAAACGAAATGACCGATGTGGAATTACTTTTATGTTTTTGATATTTTCACGTTGTTTTGTGGTTGCCCTTTTAGGAGTGTCTAAGGGATGATAAACTAATTTAAGGTTAACGGACGTTAGGGAATGATACAATTGAAAATGTTATAAAAGGATAATATTTTAGTTGGACGCAATTTAAAATGTTAATTTTTTTTTAACATTTATCGGGTTCACGTATTTTTATAACATTTTCAATTGCATTTATTATATGTCGTTCATTAATCTTAAATTAGACACAAAATTTCCCTCCCCTTTCACTCTCCCTTCTACAGCGTAAAGCTTATAGCTGGTGCCTACACAAGCACCCTGATCCTACCATGAACCCAGTTTTCCATTATACTTAACCTGCCCTGGTTCTCATTTGCCGCATGGTCAAAAGTTGAACTATATGCATGACAATGCGCTCCTTGTTAAGTGGGCGGGTTGACTTTTGAAACCCAATTAATTTGGTAACAATCAAATGTCGGCTATGGTTTCACCTAATGAAGAAAGAACTAAAACCATAAATATATGTTGACAAGTTGGTGACTTATCAAAGGGATAATTAATATTTGATCTTTAAACTAATTGGTTATTTATCAGCTAATCCCTACCTCCCACGTGGGAAGAAAGTGATGTCTCAGCAAATTGAATGACACCAGACAAGCTCTTCCCCTATCCACCTCCCTGGGATTCCTTATATATGGCAAAATGAACACGTATGGTAGAAAAGAAAAAACTTTCAGAAGAATTAACAATGAAAAGAAACGGAAGCCATTTTTTGTTTCAAAATCTGGACTTGATTGCAGTTAAATAAACAGTTTCATGCTTTTTATTCCATTTTTTTGTTACTTCCGAAGGTGATTATAATGGAGTGTGTTGGAGCCCGGAACCTCACCGCAATGTCGGTTCCTACGTGTGCCACGTGGAGGAGAAACCTGTTGAGGACTAAAGCAGCACTTCCGAGTCACCATCATTTCCTTGAAGGCGAGAGCTAGTGGAGCGAGAGGCGAGAGTTGCGTTGCGGTTAAGGAAGACTTCGCCGACGAAGAAGATTTCATAAAAGCCGGTGGCTCTGAGCTTCTCTTCGTTCAAATGCAGCGGAATAAGGAAATGGATACGCAGTCCAAGTTAGCGGATAAGGTATTTTTTGGGTAAACTATACTGGAGACATCCAACTATAACCTCTTTTGAATTACATCCAAACCCAAACCGCTGGACTAAGTCTTTCAATCAGTTTTGGATTACATCTTCTTGTATAATGTTATGAACAATGGTAGAGAGAGAAAAAAAAGAAAAAAGAAGTAAAATTTATATTTTTATATTTTCAAACCATCTTTATTTTTATATAATTTTCTATATATACTCATTAAATTATTTTTAATATAATTATTAATTATTAATTTTAATATATATATATATTAATTAGGTTAAAAAAATAAACTTAAAAATTGATTATATAAAAATAAATATAATTTAAAATCTGAATTCAAGTTTCGATAAAAATTAATTTTTAATTTTTAAATTTATTTTAAAATATTAAATTTATTTTAATAAATATTAAATTTATTATTATTTTAAATATTATAGTATATTAATTTATTTTAAATTTATTTTTATATAAACAAAGTATAATTTTGTTTTTTCAACATAATTAATAATATTTATATCTATATTATACATAATTATTAAATAAAATTAAAATTATTAACTATATTAAAAAAATATTTGATGATTATATAAAGGATTGTATAAAAGTTAAAGATAGTTTAAAAATATAAAAATATAAAATTTAATTTTTAAAAAATATATGTTAATTTCCTATTTTTCTCTACCATTGTTCATAACGTGATATATATAAAAAGATGTAATCCAATACTGATTAAGGGACTTGGCCTGGTTTGGGCGTGCTGTGAAAATGCTGGGGTTGGAGATTTGATTCTTCCCATAGCAAGTTATAATTTTTACACACCCGGTGTTCATCACAATCAAATAAGCATGTAATTTAAATAGTTAATCTAATGTCATTTTTCAGATCTTGGACTTGAAAGATGTATTGAGCAGGTTTGGCGTGATACCATTGTATACCTCGATGATGATAAGCCTATTATGATTGGACGTGCTTACGGGCGTGTTAGTCGACACTTGCTCCATGAGGAGTTGTTGAGGAGGTAGTGACAGTTTCTTGTCAATGATGTTCATGACTATTTTTTCTCCATGTTGTTTGTTTCCATATTGAATACCATCAATATTTAATTTTGTATTAATTTTGCTTAGGTGTGTCGAGTCAGGTGTAATGTATCTTAATTCAAAGGTAGAGACAATTATTGAAGCTACCGATGGTCATAATCTCGTACCTTGTGGACACAATCGTGTTGTTCCTTGCAGGTAGGATAATTTCTGTTTCCCGTGCTGCCATTTGTGAATTTCAACCTTTAGTTTTGCAACTCCTTTCAAACCCTTAATGTGTTATTCTAGGCTTGTTACTGTTGCTTCAGGAGCAGCTTCAGGTAAACTGTTGCAGTATGAGGTAGGGGGTCCAAGAGTCTCCATACAAACAGCGTATGGCATCGAGGTTGACGTATGTATGATATGGAAGCTTCAGTTGTTAACAATCATATATCTTTGCCTTTGTTATTTTTGCCGTACTGCAGCATGACCAAAAAATTGCTGTTTAAGAGGGCGATGAAAAAAAATCTGAACTTTTTAACAGGTTGCTTTTTTCCCCTTATTATATCAGGTGGAGAACAATCCTTATGATCCCAGCCTGAAGGTTTTCATGGATTATAGAGACTATACTAAACAAGAAATTCCATCTTTGGAAGCACAATGTCCAACATTTCTTTATGCCATGCCCATGTCTTCAACAAGAGTTTTCTTTGAGGTTTGCAATATGCTATTGATTTTGTTTATTGTTCATGTTGTATCCCATGATTACATGCAAAGTGATTCAGAAAGTTGATCTGCAGGAAACTTGTCTGGCTTCGAAAGATGCCATACCTTTTGATTTATTAAAGAAGAAGCTCATGTTGAGGTTAGAGACCATGGGAATCCGGATTTTAAAAGTTCATGAAGAGGTAACCTGCATGCCTAATTAAGATGCCCAATTTGTTAGTAGGAAATCAGAGAAAACGTCTTAATCACAAACACCACCACATTAAATTCAGGATTCAACTTTCTGTCATGGTAGGACATAATTTGCAATTGAGGAGTGCAGAGCCCACTGCTTTTAATCATGGCTTATGGGATTAATGCCTATCTTTCAACTTCTCAGTTAGTAGTCTATCTCATTGATTCCCGACATTTCCATGTTCCAACTGCATTGTGAAGTAACATGCGTTGATCGCCAATTTTATTAGCAAGGTGCCATTTTCTTTGATGCAAAATATAGTTCCAAAGTGATACAATCTTATGCAGGAGTGGTCTTACACCCCAGTTGGTGGTTCCTTACCAAACACAGAGCAGAAGATCCTTGCATTCGGTGCTGCTGCAAGCATGGTGCATCCTGCTACTGGTAAGAATTGAGTGGTCTTACGTTCCAAGTGCTTTAATATTTGACTTGATATTGCAGATCTAACCCCACCTAAACAGGTTATTCGGTTGTCAGATCATTGTCAAAGGCTCCAAATTATGCTTCTGTAATTGCAAATATCCTAAAGAAGGGTCATTCTAATGGTTTGCTTACCAGTGAGAGAAATAATGGGAATATCTCAATGCATGGTACGCTGTGTGATTTATCCTCTTTCCTCTCAACTTCACTGTTTTAAGGGTTAGTAACCGATCAGTTATCAGAATTTAATTTTTCATGTAAATGGCATACTGCATATGCAAGCACGCATGGATATGTTTATATATGTATGTCAGATATTTCAATGATTTTTCCGAGAGTGTCATGCATTACTCGGGTCTACCTTCGTAAATGTAATACAATAATCCTTGGTTGTTGTTGTCTTTATGATTTCTCGTTTGTCTCTTGCTTGGCTTGTATGTTTCAAGTTACTGAATTGTCCTTGGGGTACTTTGCATATTCATTGTATGCTGTGATGCTTTATGTAATTCTCTAACAATTTAGAACTCAATGCATGCTATCACTTTCTTATGATGTGCTATTCTAATTTGGTTCAGCTTGGAATACTCTTTGGCCACAAGAAAAGAAACGCCAGAGAGCATTCTTTCTGTTTGGGCTAGCACTCATATTGCAACTAGATATTGAAGGCATTCGAACGTTCTTCCATTTGCCAAGTTGGTATGGCTTAATATTTACCGTCTTTTGATCCTTATTTATCATGAAAACCAGGAGAACTGTTTCCTTTAATAATGCTCGACTAGCTTGAGTTGCATAATTAAAATTACTCTTCTTAATGTCAGATCCAACTGGAGCAACTATGATAAGAACATATCTTACAGTATAGATGGTACCTTTTGTATCTCTAACCTTATTTGGGTGTATTTCAGTTGCTATTCAAGCAATATTATGAGGAGCTTATCCACAATGAAAAATAAGTAGGCATTGTATATTATCGGTACGTTTGCATGTATATCGTCTTAGTTAAATACAATGCACGTTTTTGTTCAAAATGTAAGAATGTATATAATGTTATGCACATATTTATTGACCAAATATACCTGAATTGCATTTAATTTGCATTGTATTTTTCCCTCACCAACCAATCAGGATTGATTCCGTTTAATTACCATAACCCCGGTTGTCGACATGGGTTGATTCGGTTGATTGAGTATTCATTGGTATATCGGTAAAACCAAGGCTTGTGTCTCACCAGTAACCCCGTGTGCCTAAAAAACCTTGTAAAGTTAGAATATTCCCCAGATTGGATTAAAGCTTGTCTTCATTTGTTTTTGTTCCTTTTGGAATGGGCTTATTGAGGTTATGGAATCTCTAGTTTGATAATTGATGTATTCATCATAAAAGGTCAACTGCTGCCAGTTTACCCAAATTAAACCTGGTCTATCCAACTGTTGCTTGGTTTTGACGAAAACTTAACTTTCTGGAGAAAAAAGAGGTTATGGAAATTCTGGTTTTGGCATCTGTTGCATTACTTGCCTTCCAGGATTGAAAGAAACTGCAGATAATGCATCGGAAGATATTTCAGGATCCAAAATGCCTTCCATGTAATGTATTTATTATAGACGTGTCATGGATGAAACGTTTGGAAAAGTCAGCTGGCCCTGTAGGGATGAAATGACGAAGAACATGCAGAACCGTAACTTTTACGGGTTACAAGCTATATCCTTGATGTTGACCAATAAGTATAAGCCATTTCAGTTTGAAGGTTTCAACTGTGACGGCTTTACTAATAGTGGCAGATGATCAATCATCTCAACACAACTGCCGGGTTTGGAAGTTGCACTGAAATTGAATATTCTTTTGGTCAAGGGTTAGGCACTTCGAGTTAATTTGGATGATGTTCTGGTCTGAACCAGGTATTAGCGATTTTAACACAGACCTTGAGTCTCTGCTCTTCTCTACCGAGAACATTGAGCTTTTTCACCAATGGATTTCATTACCCCTCTGATCAGCATAGTTGAAAGATTATGCACAGCAATGGCTTCTCAGGCAAGCCATGTTATCAATTTGGACCGAGGGATGCAATCGTTCGCTGCAGAACTAATCGAACTGAAGGACAAGAGGGATGACTTAAGGACTCTCCTTGTGCGAGCTGAGCTCGATGGATAAAGAGTCGAACAAATGAAGTGCAGAAGTGGCTGGCAAGAGTAAAGTTATTGAATCTGAAGCTACCTCCATCAAAGAGAGTTTTAGACAGAGTAGGCGACTCCCGGGGTGCTTCAATCTGAGTTGTTGTTCGAAATACAATCTGAGCAAGGAGGTGATAGAGAAGCTGAAGGAGCTAAGTGAACTGAAGGGGAAAGGAAACTTTGAGAGACTAGTGACACAGCCACATCCTGCTCCTGTTGAGGAGAAACCATGTAAGCCTGCAATTGGCATCAGTGTGATGTTACACAAGGTGTGGGAGTTTCTTGAAGAGGGCATTGTGGGAACCATCGCCTTATATGGGATGGGTGGAGTTGGGAAAACAACGCTTCTGAAGACCATCAAAAATGCATTTCTGACCAGAGATCACAACTATGATGTGGCAATGTCTTGGTCTCTAAGGAATTTGTTGCCAGGAAGATCCAACAATCCATTGTGGCCAGGATAGGGTTGCCATGGGAACTGGGAAGAAAGTGAAACACATGAGCAACTAACTTCAAAGATTTACAGTGTTTTGAAAAGGAAGAGATTCCTCCTATTGCTAGATGATGTTTGGGAGAGAATTGATTTGGGGGATATTGGGATTCCTCTTCCTGATGAGGAAAACAAGTGCAAGCTGATATTCACAACGCGTTCCATGGATGTATGTAGTGACATGGATGCTCATAGGAAGCTCAAAGTAGAACTCTTAACTGATGACAAGTCAGCAATTGTTCTGCGAGAAGGTTGGAAGAATGGAGATTTTGGAGCACCGGCTATTAGAACTTATGCCGAGACGATCGTTCAGAAATGTGGAGGCTTACCGCTTGCATTGATCACTGCAGGTAGAGCCATGGCCAATAAGGAGACTGAAGGAGAATGGAAGTATGCAATCGAATTACTCAACAAGTCTCCATCGGAACTTCGAGGTATGGAAGATGTATTTACACTCCTAAAGTTTAGCTATGACAATTTGGAGAATGAGGCAACAAAAATGTGTTTTTTGTATTGTTCTCTATTCCCTCATAGCTATTCTATTGAGAAAGAACAACTGGTAGAGTACTGGATTGCAGAAGGATTTTTAGGCAGCTCCAACGATCGTCATGTCTATAATAAAGGGTATGCTGCAATTGGGTCTCTAAAAGTTGCCTGCTTATTGGAAATGGGCGAGGAAGAAAATGAACGATGTTATCCGAAGTTTTGTCTTATGGATAGCATCAGAATGTGGGGTAAACAAGGGGAAATTTTTGGTAGAGGCATGCTTGGGCCTTACGGAAGCTCCTTGTGTTAAAAACTGGGAAGGAGCACAAATAATTTCTTTATTAGACAATGGAATCACTGGGCTACATGAAGTACCAGTATGCCCAAACCTGCTGACTCTGCTGCTTCAGTGGAATAATACCCTAAATCGGATACGGACGACTTTTTTCAATCATTGATTGCTCTTAGACTCCTGGATTTGTCATTTACAAGCATCAGAAAGATCCCAGTGAGTATTGATGAGTTATTAGAGTTGCGTCATCTTAATTTAACAGCTACAAAAATGACCACATTGCCTAAGGGGCTGGGAAATTTAGCAAAGCTGAACCACCTGAATCTCTTGCGCACATACTCTCTTCGAACAATCCCAAATGAGGCTATAGCTAGACTTTCAGAGTTGGTGGTCTTGAATTTGTATTACAGTTACGAGCTTTGGGAAGTTCAGAACTCCGAAAGTGACGATGATGTCAGATTTGAGGTATTGGAGACCTTGACACACCTCCGCATACTTGGACTAACCATTTCCACAATAACCTCGCTGCACCAGCTCTCCGGCATTAGAAGTTTAATCAGATGCATACAGTATTTATTCATAAAAGAATGAGAAGGTCTGCATCAACTAGAATTATCACCAACTTTCGGTTACAGTAAACGACTGAGAAGACTTAGCATCAAAGACTGCAATGACTTAAATTGCTTGGTAGTGGATGCCGAGGATGGAGAGAATTGGTTACCTAATCTTGGACTAACCATTTCCACAATAACCTCGCTGCACAAGCTCTCCGGCATTAGAAGTTTAATTAGATGCATACAGTATTTATTCATAAAAGAATGTGAAGGTCTGCATCAATTAGAATTATCACCAACTTTCGGTTACAGTAAACGACTGAGAAGACTTAGCATCAAATACTGCAATGACTTCAATTGCTTGGTAGTGGATGCCGAGGATGGAGAGAACTGGTTACCTAATCTGGAAGTTTTAGCCTTGCATGGCCTGCCTAACTGACGCCAGACAGAATAGTGATTATCCTGTAGGCTAGTTCCGACAGACGATTCACAAGAGAAAATTCGCCCAAAAACCAGAGAAAAAAGTCTCTAGGGTTTAATAAAATATTATAAAATCAATAATCATCCAAAAGCAGTCCACAAGCCGGACTGTTATAGCAAAAGAAATCGTCTTTATTCGAATTTTGCCAAAAATAGCAAAAATCGTATTTATTCGAATTTTTGCCAAAAATAGCAAAATCCCGAAAATCACTCTAAATTGAAATTCGAAATAAAATAAGCAATCTCCCAAAAATCCGGTCTAAATCGGATTTAAATTGACTTCCTAATTAACAATCGAAATATTACCATAAATAGTAAAAAATAACTAAATCTAGTGATTCGGAGGGGAAAACGGCAGAATTTGAGGTTGAAAAAAAGGCCACATGGAGCATAGCTCAATGTGGAGAGCGTGCGCGTCGAAAAGAGCTTTCCGGATTGGGGTCTTATGCGCGATTCTGACACCTGTAGCCAAAGTTATGGCCAAAAGACTGAAACATACTCAAAACGACCCCAATAAGGAACATGTCACAATCAATTCCCGCCTTTGCGCTGATCTGCCAACTCATGGTATCTCAGCGCCATCAACGTGCAATCTGACAGCTCAGCGTCATCTGTCTCGGATCCCCCTGCATCAGTCGCCCCGGGTTGGAAAGAACTCGTCCTCGAGTTCAGAGTAGTGTCATCAGGATCCACAAAACAATGACTCAGGTGCTTCACATTAAAGACATCAGAAGTCTTCAAGTGACTGGGAAGTCGCAACCTGTAAGCATTATCATTGATCTTCTGCACGACCTCACAAGGTCCAATCTTCCGATCCTTAAGCTTATTATACTCACCAACAGGAAAACGATCACGAGTTAATACAGCCCAAACAAAATCACCAACATCAAAAAGTACCTGACGACGATGATTATCGACCCGAGTCTTGTACTTGGTATTGCTCTCATGAATGGTCTGTTTCACCTGCTCATGGATACCCCGAAGATACTTTGCCATCTCATCTGCTTTAGGACTGAAACGTCCTATACGTGGAATAGGGGCTAAGTCCAACACCCCGGATGGGTTCTGACCATAGACAATCTCAAATGGGCTTAAACCTGTGGTTCTGTTTTTGATCTGTTGTAGGCAAATTCTGCCTGAGGCAATGCCAAATCCCACTGCTTCGGCTTCGTTCCTGCCAAACACCTTAAAAGGTTTCCTAAACTTCGGTTCACCACCTCAGTCTGGCCATCCGTCTGGGGTGGTAGGCGCTACTGAAATTCAACTGTGTTCCCAGTTTCCCCACAGGCTCTTCCAGAAATGACTGATGAACTTAGTATCACGATCTGAAGTGATGGATCGAGGAACACCATGTAAACGCACAATCTCCTTGAAATAGAGATGGGCAATCCGGTCAGCATCCATAGTCTTTCTGCAAGCTACAAAATGAGCCATCTTGGAAAACCTGTCAACCACAACAAAGATAGAATCAGAGGCCCTTTGGGTACGGGGTAAGCCTAGTACAAAATCCATGCTGACATCGAACCAAGGAGCTTCAGGAACAGGTAAGGGAGTGTACAATCCCGCATTGGTGAGAACTCCTTAGACCGCTGGCACACATAACAACGGTCCACATAATGGGTCACATCACTAGTCAACTTGGGCCAATAAAATTCAGAAGAGATAAGGGCCAATGTCTTATCTCGGCCAAAGTGTCCCTCATTATGGAGTTCACTTATAATTTGCTGCCTCAATGAACAATCTGGAATGCACAATTGTAATCCACGAAACAGATACCCATTATGCAAAACAAAATCATGACGGTGACCCTCAGTTACCTCCTGAAATATCCTTCCAAAGGAAGGATCAGCTGCATACATATCTGTGAACGTCTCAAATCCTGCAACTTTAGTACTCATGGTGGTGAGAAGTAAGGTACGACGGCTCAGGCATCTGCGACGCGGTTCAAACTCCCTGCTTGGTGCCTCAGCGTAAAAGTGAATTCTTGCAAGTATGCTACCCACTTGGCATGACGTCTACTCAGCTTGTGTTGGCCATTGATGTACTTCAAGGCCTCATGATCGGTAAACAGAATAAACTCCTTCTGTACTAGGTAGTGACGCCAATGCTTCAGGGACTGAACTATGGCATAGAACTCCAGATCATAAGTGGAATAATTTTTCTTTGATCCCGATAGCTTCTCACTGAAAAAGCAACCGGACGACCTGCCTGACTCAGAACACCACCAATGCCAACGCCAGATGCATCACAATTTACCTCGAACACTTTGTCAAAATCTGGAAGTGCCAAAACTGGAGCCTCGGTCATCTTCTGCTTGACCAGTTGAAAACTGGCCTCTGCCTCCTCAGACCACTGGAAATCACGCCCCTTGAGGCACTCTGTGATAGGGGCGATCAGAGTACTGAAATTTCTAATGAATCGACGGTAAAAAGACGCCAAGCCATGGAAACTTCGGATGTCATGTAAGGTTCTTGGTCTGGGCCACTCCAAGACTGCATCTATTTTTGACTGATCTGCATGAACACCATCAGTAGACACAACAAAACCAAGAAAAGTCACAGAAGTGGTGAAGAAAGAACACTTCTTTTGATTGACAAACAAGCACTCCGTTTTCAGCATCTCAAAAACAGCACGGAGGTGATCGAAGTGTGAAGTCCATGTCGGACTATAAACGAGGATATCATCGAAGTAAACTACAACAAATTTCCCCATAAAAGGCCGCAAGACCTGATGCATAAATCTCATGAATGTACTGGGCGCATTGGATAACCCAAAAGGCATGACCATCCACTCATACAACCCTTGTGGCGTTTTAAACGCCGTCTTCCACTCATCTCCAGGCCTTATTCTGATTTGGTGGTAACCGCTCTTAAGGTCAATTTTTGAGAAGATCTTAGAACCAGATAGCTGATCCAACATATCATCTAGACGGGGAATTGGAAACCGGTACTTCACTGTAATTCTGTTGATCGCTCGGCTGTCAACACACATACGCCAAGAACCATCTTTCTTTGGCACTAACAGAGCAGGGACTGCACATGGGCTCATACTCTCTCGGATATAGCCCCTCTCCAACAGCTCTTCCACCTGTCGCTGCAACTCTTCGGCCTCCTTGGGACTGAGGCGATATGCTGGTCGATTTGGCAAACTTGACCCAGGAACAAGGTCAATTTGATGCTGAATATCCCTCATAGGTGGTAGTCCAGGAGGAAGATCCTCTGGCATCAAGTTAGAGAATTCTGCTAGCAACCGCTGCACCTCTACTGGTAAATCTGTATCCACGTCTACTGCATTGTTCTCGCAAGGTAGCAAGGCATAGACCACGTCGCCATGCTCAATCTCATCTAAAAACCTGGACATAGAAAGCAGATTAGTATTATGGGTTACTGGGGTAGGAGTAAGTCCTTCCCGCCGGGGTGCCAACACAATCTTTTTTCCCTTGATGCTAAGGGAATATGTATTCTTCCGTCCATCATGAATGACACTGCGATCATACTGCCAAGGTCGACCCAACAATATATGACACGCATCCATAGACACAACATCACACCAGGCATTATCAAAATATTTTCTACCAATTGAAAAAGACACCAGGCATCGCCTATCAACTGTTACCTCACTGTCTTTATTTAGCCATGACAACTTGTATGGCTTAGGATGACGGTCCGTCTTCAACTGCAATTTCTGGACAACCTCCTCGGACACTACATTCTCACAACTGCCGCTGTCAATGATCATTTTGCAGACTTTATCTGCAACTGTGCAAGTCGTGTGGAAAATATTGGTTCTCAACCAATCGTCCCCTGAATCGCCCTTGGGGGTAAGTAGACTCTTGCGAACGACCAGAGTCTCATGACCATCTCCATACAGCACATCATCAGTCTCATTATCGTCATACACGGGTTCGCCAATCTCCTCAGTCTCGTCTTCCACGTTTTCCTCAATCAACAAATTTTTGCCCTTTTGACTAGCAGGCTTCCTGCAATCAGTCGCCCTATGCCCTTGTTCACCACAACGAAAACATCTAATAGTAGGGTTAGAATTACCCTGCGGTGGCTGCTGAGCAGGACGGGACTCTTGAGGGCGAACTGGTCGACTGTTGTGATCGCTCCTGATCACTGGTCTCCTGTTTTGCTGTTTTTCAACAGCAAGTGCACGCTGGTATGCTTCCGAAACACTCCACAATGAATGAAGGCTGAGGACATCTTGCAAGGGCTGGCGTAAACCCCCCAAATATCGCGCCACCATCTGCTCCTCCGTCTCAGATAAATCGTTCCGGGCGACCAATTGGTAAAACTCCTCCGTGTAATCAACGACTGATCGCGCGCCCTGCCTCAACGCATGAAGTCGCTGAAATAAGGTTTGCGTGTAGCCGAAGGGAAGGAAGTGGCCCTTCATCTTCTTTTTCATCTTCTCCCAATCAGTGATCTTGGCTTTGCCCTGTCTTTCTCGTGAACGTCGTAACTGTTCCCACCACGCAGATGCTCTGCCCTTGAGTTTGATGGCGATCAGTTTCACTTTCACACGATCGGGGACTTCCTTATATTCAAAAATACGCTCCACTTCATTAATCCAATCCACGAATCCCTCGGCCTGTAATGTACCAGAAAACTCAGGGAGATCGACCCGAAAACCGAGGTCTCCATGACGCTCCTCCCGACCACGGTGCTCCCGGAATCCTGCGCCCCGGAATCCTGCGCGATTGTGATATGGGTTTTCGAAAGTGGAATTGGTATCGTGATCAGAGGCCTCACGATCCTCTAAATCCTGCGCCGCCAGGCGCTGGGTTAATTCTGCGACTTGCCTCTGCAAATCCGCAATCATCACATCCTGAACGCTGCGATCACGGCGTTGGGCTTCCTCATTCGGAACCTGCTCACGACGACCACGACCACGACCTCCAGCCATTGAAACTGGTGAAATTTCCAAGAAGATGTTGAAGCTCTGACACCAACTGACGCCAGACAGAATAGTGATTATCCTGTAGGCTAGTTCCGACAGACGATTCACAAGAGAAAATTCGCCCAAAAACCAGAGAAAAAAGTCTCTAGGGTTTAATAAAATATTATAAAATCAATAATCATCCAAAAGCAGTCCACAAGCCGGACTGTTATAGCAAAAGAAATCGTCTTTATTCGAATTTTGCCAAAAATAGCAAAAATCGTATTTATTCGAATTTTTGCCAAAAATAGCAAAATCCCGAAAATCACTCTAAATTGAAATTCGAAATAAAATAAGCAATCTCCCAAAAATCCGGTCTAAATCGGATTTAAATTGACTTCCTAATTAACAATCGAAATATTACCATAAATAGTAAAAAATAACTAAATCTAGTGATTCGGAGGGGAAAACGGCAGAATTTGAGGTTGAAAAAAAGGCCACATGGAGCATAGCTCAATGTGGAGAGCGTGCGCGTCGAAAAGAGCTTTCCGGATTGGGGTCTTATGCGCGATTCTGACACCTGTAGCCAAAGTTATGGCCAAAAGACTGAAACATACTCAAAACGACCCCAATAAGGAACATGTCACAATCAATTCCCGCCTTTGCGCTGATCTGCCAACTCATGGTATCTCAGCGCCATCAACGTGCAATCTGACAGCTCAGCGTCATCTGTCTCGGATCCCCCTGCATCACTAACCTAACTTCAGTTTGGAAAACCCCACCTGGAGAAGCAATCCTGCAAAATCTACGGTTGTTGAATATCTGGTATTGCCATAAACTGAAGAATGCTTCATGGACATGTTACTTCTGAAGCTAGAAGCAATTTACTTGTTCTACTGCAAAGCATTGGAAGAAGTGGTAAGCGAAGAAGAGAAACTAGAGCCCGATTCAAAGGCATTTTCGAGGCTCAAAACTATATCCATCCTCGACCTCCCTGAACTAAGGAGCATTACACCACTGGCATTAACTTTCCCTTGCTTGAAGAACATTGCTGTCATTGATTGCCCAAAGTTGAAGAGACTATCAATCAGAATAACTCATGATTCCTGGACTGTGCCGACGGTGTACTGTATTAAGGATTGGTGGAAGCATTAGAATGGGATGATCTCAACACCAAAATTTCTTTCATTACCAACTTCACATCAAATTGATGCAGCAACAGCATGTACTCAACTTTGTTATTCGGTAAGTCCTGCTTTGCTTACCACATATATGAACTTCATTTTATAAACAGTTTTTCATGTTCCCTATAGTGTGTACTGCACAAATATTGTAATAACTGCTATAGCCTCTAGAGAATTTTAATTAGATAGTTCAAACCAAGGACAAAACTTAACTACATTCAATCTCTCTAGAGCGACAAAACTTAACTACATTCAATCTCTCTAGAGCAAAGGACAAACAAATAACATGTCCTTAGCAAAAGGCAAACATAATATGTTCAAACGTAAACAATTTCACCATGGACTATAATTATCAGCATAACTTGTGTAGTGAATCATCGGGTTAACCATAGGTGGTGGTCGAGAGTTGAAAACGCCGTATGGAGGCATTGGCAGTGGACGCATAACCCCAAACGGATAACGCGAAGGCCCCGGATGCCTTCCCATCATTGGCGGCGGATGATAAGGCCGAAAAGGTTGATAGTATGGCCTAGGACCACCACCATAATCTAGCATTGGTGTTCTTGGAAATTGCCATCTCGACGGCCCATCCCCCTTCGAAGGTGGTGCCTCTACCATGGTTACCTTTGCTTCATTTTTCTTACGAAACAATCCGAAACACCATTTCATGGCTTTACTCTTTGTGGTTTGGTCGTTGGAAGTGATGCTGGGATTGTTGGTCTTGTTTGATACAGCAGCCTCGGGACCATTTTGAATTTCAGATTCAGAATCGGAAATGGAATCACAATGACAACAACAGTCGTCGTTCGTATGGCATTTTAATTCATGATGGGGATCGCCATTATCAGTGGCTCGATTAGGGGACTGCTCCAAAGACAAAAGCTCTGCCTTTCTGCCCCATTTTTCAATCTTCTTCACAATAACCATTGGGTTTACTTTTCCAGAAATCGTAAGCACCCCTTTGGAATCATTGTCGACGGCCTCCACTCCTGATTGTAAAAAGTGAAACAAACAAACGGCAGTGATTATACTATTATTCTAACACCAAATTCAATTCAAATCATAAAATTACCGCTGATTTTTTGCAGCTTTTCCCTTGCTTTTGTTCGACAATCGTTGCAACAGTTTATATTCACTTTCAAAGTACAAGTCTACGAAAATAATTAAAAACACGAATAAAATAAAAATTATGAAAAATAATAATTATAAAACTAGAATAGACAGATTCAGAAATAAACTTAACTGCTTTGGATTGTTCCATTGAATAAAACTCAGGAGGGTGAGAACTTTGAAATAGATAAGAAAACACTAAAACAGAATAAATTTATACTTAAACTATGGAAACTTCTTACACAAGTTTCTTTAAAGTAAATTTAGCCGATGATCCATACAGAATCAGATATTTTGTAATCTTCAATTTTAAATGGAATGTTAATCAATAGATAATATACTGTATCAAGATTATAGGTAATTAAAATAAATAGCTAATCAATTACCTTCTACTATACAAATTTAGGAGTTGAGACTTGGGAGGCAAGTCACAGTAATCTGAGAAATAAAGAGAAATAGTATATATTCAAAAAATATCTAACTCAATCAAATCAAATTAAATCAAAATTTAGTGATTTAAGTATTTTTATTAGCCCTAATTACGACATGTGCTTTATAAAGAGAAAAGGATATGGTACAAAGTAGCAGAGTTTATAATATATATTATGATATTTATTTGAAGGTTTTGCTTTATCTCTAAGTATGCTATTTATTAAATAATTATTATTATATTAATTATTTATTTTATTATGACCGAATATTTTTGTAATTATGTAATTTTTGTTTGTTTGTTAATATTTATGTATCAAATAGATAAAAGATAGATATAAAAACATATAAATTTAGGCAAGTATATTTAACAAATTGGTTAAGTTGTTTGTTTTGTTAATATTTATGTATCAAATATTTTTTTGTTTACATTCACTTATATACAAATAAAATAATAAAATATTCATTTATGTTTATATTAGAGAAAATCGCCTCAGTGACCAAAAAAAAGTTATAATATACGATTTTAACCAACTTTTTTTGGATTTGCCAAAATGACCAACAAAATCGCAACGCGAAATAAAAATCGCAACGCGATCCCCAGAATCGCAAATCAGTTTCCAGAATCGCAACGCGATTCTTGAAAATCGCGATGCGATAGTACAAATTCGCATTGCGATTTTCCATAATCGCAACGCGAATATGAAAATCGCAACGCGAACACATAAATCGCAACGCGTATCCGTAAATCGCAACGTGTATCCGTAAATCGCAACGCGTATGGGTAAATCGCAATGCGTATCCGTATATCGCAACGCGTATCCGTAAATCGCAACGCGTATCCGTAAACAGCAACGTGTATCCGTAAATCGCAACGCGTATCCGTAAATCGCAATGCGTATCCGTAAATCGCAACGCGTATCCGTAAATCGCAACGATAATCCGTAAATCGCAACGCGTATCCGTAAATCGCAACGATAATCCGTAAATCGCAACGAGAATCTGTAAATCGCAACGATAATCCGTAAATCGCAACGAGAATCTGTAAATCACAACACTGAAATTTTGGGTATATAACACTGAAATCATAAACTAAATCCCTAAATCGCAACTCATTCCATCTCCATCTATCACTCTCTCCGGCGACATCCGTTCCTATATCCAACGACATCCTTCCCCATCCGGCAACAGGTCTTAGTTTCGCATCTCGTTTGTTTAGTTACAACCATGAAATCATCTAATGTTGATCATGTTGGATAGATTTGTGTTTTGGAGGGTCATGGGATAATGTTAATGGTGTTTTACAATATATGCCTTTACCCATAAATCTTCAACTAAAATTGTCTTTACAAAAGTTAACTTATGAAACTCTAATGCTACGTGTTTCAAATAAATTGAATTTAGAGCCCCTAAGTGGATTTAGGCTATCTTATCAGAGAAATGGTAAAGTTTATTTGTTAACCGACAATGAAGATGTTGAACGATTCATTGCTTACATTAGTGTTTCACAAGATGATGTTACATTGTATGTTGTTGAACCTAGAAGTAGTATTGTTGGGTCAGTAGCGGGTAGTAATCAACTAAGTTTTTCTCAAAACCCACAACCTTTCTCTAATCCAAATCCCAATCAACTTTCAGCACCAAATTCCGGTTTTCGTATTGACCAGTTAGACGATGATGAGCCAACAGAAAAAATTGTGAGTACTAGTCAGTATTCGAAATTTGGTCTTGGTCAATATCCGGACTTTGATATTGGTCAATACACGGATTTTGATGATGTTTCAGAAGAAGAAACAGACCATGCGTGTAATGATATTGATATTGGTCAATACCCGAATTTTGATGATGAAACAGCCGTTGCCGAAGAATGTAATGTTGATGATAATGAGGAGGAAGTTACGACTATGAATGAACATGTTGAACATCCATTCTGTAATTCATATAATCCTGAAGAAGAAAAAGAAGAAGAAAAAGTCCCCGAAGAAAAGAAAATGCCACGGGCGTATAACTGGAATATGCCAGAATTACTTCAGATACCGAAGAAGAGTTGATAAAGAAAGCAGTTGATTGTTACACAAAAGTTATTCGTATCAAGAAAGATGATTGTTTTGATACAAAGGAAGACTTGAAGATAGCTTTATATACGAAATGTGTGGAAGATGGCTATCAACTAAAAGTTAACAAATCAAGCAAAGATCGTTTCGAAACAAGGTGTATGATTGACAAAAACTGTACGTGGCGTATGATTGCAAAGAGAATAAAAGATTGCAAAATGTTTCAAGTTAGGACTTTTATTGATAAACATACATGTTCAAGAACCCAAGTTTTTCCTCACCATAGACAGGCAAACAAAAAGGTGTTGGGTGGTTTTCTGGCTGAGTTAATGTTTTTGAATGGCAGGGTATATCGGGACATGAAATTATGACTGACATGAATGCTCGGTTCAATTAGTATATCATATTCTCAAGCTTGGAGAGCCAAATGTTATGCCTTGGAATTGTTGAGGGGGTCGCCAGAAGCATCGTTTGCCCAACTGCCGGCTTATTGTCACAATTTAAAGCTGAAAAATCCTGGGTCGGTAACTCATATCAAAACAGATAGAGATGGACGCTTTGAGTTGCTGTTTATCGCCATTGGTGCTACGGTTAGTAAATCAATATAATTTTGTTGACTCATTTTGTTAGTTACATGCATTTCACATTTAAATGATTATATTTCTTGTGTATATTATTTTGTAGATTCGTTCGTTTATTACTTGCATGCGCCCAGTTATTATAGTTGACGGAGCACATTTGAAAGGTCGATACCTTGGAGTAAACTTATTAGCAGTAGCCATGGATGCTAACAATGGGATATTGCCAATAGCTTACGGGGTTGGCAAATCTGAAACCTCTGATTCATGGACATGGTTTATGGGGCATCTTAGGGATTGCATAGGTCCTATTAGCAATCTGACAATCATATCCGATAGGGCAAACTCAATTGACAACGCTGTTAGAAGGTGTTTCCCAGATGCTTTTCATGGACTTTGTGGTGTTCATTTGTATAGAAATCTAAAATCAAGGTCTGCTGGTATAAAAAAGCACAAATGGACATACTGGAAGGCTGTAAAAGCTTATCGGGAAGTGGATTTCAATAAGCATATAAATTGTTTAAGACGTGTTTTGCCTCAGTGTGCTCAAACACTAGAAGATGTCGGGTTTGAAAGATGGTCAAGAGTACATCAACTTGGAGCAAGATATGGTTTCATGACGTCTAATAGTGCAGAATCAATCAACGCTCTAAGTCGTCATTCCCGGAAATTACCCATTACTATGTTAATGGAGTTTTTTCGAGCCTCTATTCAACAGTGGTACTACAAGAAAAGAAACCATGCAGGTATTATTTCTTTGAATTCGTAACTTATCATATTTATATATTTTACTAAGTATTGTTTATTTAAATTTACAGGAACATTGGAACATCGTGTTACACCATGGACTGAAAAAAAGATAACGAAACGTGTTGTGAAGTCAACGTCATGGAGAGTTGAACCATGTTCAAACACTTTGTTTCAAGTACTGGATAATAACTTAAATGGGCTAGTCGATCTAAATGCAAGACGTGTAGTTGTATGAAATGGCAAACATCTGGTTATCCGTGTGGCCATGTTATAAAAGTTGCTCTTCATTTAAACCAAGATGATTCAAGCGCATACGCTATGGATTGCTACACTACAGAAGTTTATCGACAGACTTATGCCGAGATTGTCTACCCTATTCCACATCCTTCTGAGTGGGACATACCAGATGACTTACAAACAGTTTTGCCACCAGCCATGGACAGAAGGCTACCTGGCCGACCAAAAAGTCACGATCGTATACCGTCTAAGGGTGAAGAGAAGAAGAGATCGACATGTAGTCGGTGCAAGGAAAGTGGTCATACAAGGTTGACATGTGGATCACCAGTGCCATCAAAATCATCTTTTCCTCTACCAAAATATGGATCCTCATCAAAATCCAAAGCTCATATGGTGTGAACTTTGTATTATGTAAACGTTGTTATTCAGTTGTATTATGTAAACGTTTAACATTTAACATTTTATGTGTATTATGTAAACGTTGCCATCAAAAGCTCATATGCAAACGTGTATTATGTGGATTTTATGTGTGAACTTTTAACATTTTCAGTTGAATTAATGACTCAGGCCAACCATTTTGACTTAACCAACTCTTGTTATTCAGTTGTTATCACTATTAGGCATGCATTTGACTATCGCAACACGGAAAATACAATCGCAACGCGAAATGAAAATCCCAACATGAAAATCGCAATGCGGAAATGAAAATCGCAACGAGAGAATCGCAATGCGAAATGAAAATCGCAATGCGAAATGAAAATCGCAACGAGAGAATCGCAATGCGAAATGAAAATCGCAATGCGAAATGAAAATCGAACCGACATAATCGCAATGCGAAATTAAAATCGCAATACGAAATGAAAATCGCAATGCGAAATGAAAATCGCAATGCGAAATGAAAATCGCAACGAAAGAATCGCAATGCGGAAATGAAAATCGCAATGCGAAATGAAAATCGCAACGAGATAATCGCAATGCGAAATTATAAACGCATTGCGATTTTCATTTCCGCATTGCGATTTTCATTTCGCATTGCGATTCTCTCGTTGCGATTTTCATTTCGCATTGCGATTTTCATTTCGCATTGCGATAGTCATTTTTGC